GAAGCAGCTGTAATCACAAAGATACAGAAGCAGCTATACTCATACCGATACAGAAACATTTGTACTCACACAGATATAGAAACAGTTGTACTCACACAGATACAGAAACAGTTGTACTCACACAGATACAGAAACAGTTGTACTCACACAGAAACAGTTGTACTCATACAGATACGGAAACAGTTGTATTCACACATATACAGAAACAATTGTACTCAGATACAGAAACAGTTGTACTCACACAGATACAGAAACAGTTGTACTCACACATACAGAAACAGTTGTACTCAGATACAGAAACAGTTGTACTCACACATATACAGAAACAGTTGTACTCACACATATACAGAAACAGTTGTACTCACATAAATACAAAAACAGTTGTACTCACACACATACAGAAACAGTTGTACTCACACATACAGAAACAGTTGTACTCACCTCACACAGATACAGAAACAGTTGTACGCACACAGACACAGAAACAGTTGTACTCACACAGATACAGAAACAGTTGTACTCAAAACATTGTACTCACACAGATACAGAAACAGCTGTACTCACACAGATACAGAAACAGCTGTACTCACACAGAAACAGTTGTACTCGCACAGATACAGAAACAGTTGTACTCACACAGATACTGAAACAGCTGCACTCACACAGATACAAAAGCAGCTGCACACACACAGATACAGAAACAGCTGCACTCACACAGATACAGAAACAGCTGCACTCACACAGATACAGAAACAGTTGTACTCACACAGATACAGAAACAGTTGTACTCACACAGATACAGAAACAGTTGTACTCACACAGAAACAGTTGTACTCATACAGATACAGAAACAGTTGTATTCACACATATACAGAAACAATTGTACTCAGATACAGAAACAGTTGTACTCACACAGATACAGAAACAGTTGTACTCACACAGATACTGGAAAAGTTATACTCACACATATACAGAAACAGTTGTACTCACACAGAAACAGTTGTACTCATACAGATACAGAAACAGTTGTATTCACACTGATACAGAAACAGTTGTAATCACACAGATACAGAAACAGTTGTACTCACACAGAAACAGTTGTACTCAGATGCAGAAACAGTTGTACTCACACATATACAGAAACAGTTGTACTCACACATATACAGAAACAGTTGTACTCACACACATACAGAAACAGTTGTACTCACACATATACAGAAACAGTTGTACTCACACAAATACAGAAACAGTTGTACTCACACAGATACAGAAACAGTTGTACGCACACTGACACAGAAACAGTTGTACTCACACAGATACAGAAACAGTTGTACTCACACAGATACAGAAACAGTTGTACTCACACAGATACAGAAACAGCTGCACTCACACAGATACAGAAACAGTTGTACTCACAAAGATACAGAAACAGTTGTACTCACACAGATACAGAAACAGCTGCACTCACACAGATACAGAAACAGTTATACTCACAAAGATACAGAAAAAGTTATACTCACACAGATACAGAAAAAGTTATACTCACACACATACATTAACAGGTGTATTCACACACATACAGAAACAGTAGTACTCACACAGATACAGAAACAGTTGTACTCACACAGAAACAGTTGTGTTCATACAGATACAGAAACAGTTATACTCACACAGATGCAGAAACAATTGTACTCACACAGATACAGAAACAGTTGTACTCACAAGGTCGATTTCAGGACACCATGATAATAACTGATAAAGTTACAAAATAACGGTACTTCTCTCATTTTTATATGTTCTCTTAAATTGGTCAATATCACATCACTTGTTATAAAACACATAGAGAATATATCAATGTTTACATTCACAGTGCTTCATTAAAAAGTACACCAATGATAAATCATTGTTGTTTTGGTAGGGAGCTATATACGATAATGGCAAAACAGAAGCATTTCATTTCTCAACTGCACCAGCTACATCTTGTATGACGATATTGAGCTCCACTAAATATGTTAGTAAAGTTAATCGCCACGAGAACAACCAGTGTCATGTTGAGACAGGGCCTCCTTTCAATTGCTGATGGCTTCTTCTCTGAACACTATGCTGGAGGCACGTCGCATGCATCATAAACATTAAACTGACCTGCACAAGTCTGGATTTATGCAAACTGGCTTGCGCAAGGACAAAACCATGACAGCACAGGTTAACACGAATGAGAAAATAGAATACTTCTAGTTGATATCATATCAAATTTCATCATAGTCTCAATCAATCTGCCTGATCCCGAATTCTGTTTTGTATCTTTATCAATGATTTTGTGAACACCTTTCTGGATATCGACTGTGCATAAGATACAATAGTAAGCATAACCTTTCCTTACGAATTTCTGTATAGTTATGATATATCATGCAGCTTCTACAATTCAATTGGGAACCTGATGAAAAAAAAAGTTATTTCAGGATATTTAAGAATATCAAAACTGGAAAGTAACAAATGTTGAGATTTATTATCCAACCTATAATCCGAAGTAAATTGTTTATTGAATAATTATAACGAAAGGAAAAAGTATTTCAAGTACAGGTGTCTATTCTGAATCTGTGTCATCATTCGAAAAAACTTGAATGTAGTAGTCAGGGTTACAGCAAACATCAGGGACAACAATCCACAAGGAACGCTCACTGTGCCCCTCTGTTGGCTGACTTGCTTTCATATGAGGCAGAATTAATCAAAGAGCTAATCAGAACAGGTCACAAAGGCCTTGCAACGTCCTTCGTCCTCATTTTCAGATAAATTGCTGATGCCTTGTCTGTAAATATTACGAACTTTATTGACTAAATCCATCGTAAATACCTACGAGAATTGAAAATAAGAACATGACAGACTCTTGTATATATAAACCACTTACCTTGGTTATTTTCTTCAAGTAAATCAACATGGACAACTTTCCAAATAGCTTTTTGATAAGTATAATTTCAATTTCCCTAATGGAAATTTTCCATATCTGAATAGCACCATTCATACATCCCCAATGTATGGTCGCAGTTGATTCGATAGTCAAAGGTCTGTTCCGAATATGGTCATTTTCATGCAAAATGTAGACAATTAACAAACCCACAACAAACGGTTTCGAGAAATGAAAGCTCTGTGTGTTTTTTACGGTCGTCATGGAGATCTAATTGAGATCTATTATCTTTCCTTGTGCAATATATAGCTGGATGAACGTCAGTTTATCTGCTGATTTTTTAAACTTTGCTCTCATTTGTGAACGTAATATTCCTTACACGGATTGACGAAAAAGATCTTGGCGGGTGTTGTCGATGATGCAGAAGACGCTTATTCGTCCGGAACACTTGGTCAAATTCTATGAGAGAATCCATGTTTTTTTTGGTTTTTTTCTTTTGCATTTATTCACACCGTTTTCTATCATATATCTGATCATTTTCATAATTTTCGAAAAAGAACAAACTTTTATTTTCATTCCTTACAAGAGCTTTCTGATAACAGGGAAATATTAAAATATTCTCTAGAATAGAAAATAGTATGGCACAATAACAGTGGTTTCAATTTATCATTGGAGAAAACTATACATTATATTTATCATAACCCTCTCGATCAGGATAGGTAAAGTGTACAAAGCCTACCCGTGACAGACAATTTGCAAATGTTCAGGTAAAGCTGGTTCTCAGTATTTTTTCGGTATGTCTCAATTATTTCGAACACAATATCAGTTCGGTTTATCACCGTCATCCGGTACAGGACCATTTCGTTCGGTTACAAGGGGTGATCGGTTTTGAGAAGGATCGGTTTGGGGAAGTTGCATTGTAGATGTTCTTCAACAGAAAATATGTTAAGGAAACTAGACTGCTTCAAATTTCCCTAAAAAACTGTAGATGGACCTATCCGAAGAATTCATCCACCAAATGGACCTATCCGAAGTCTTTATCCATCAAATGGAACTTGTTCCAGTAATTTGAGTCTAAATATATGAGGAACTTGCATATGAAGTTGGATGTGTTCTGAGCTCGTTAGTTTACCTGATGGATTTGTTGTTACAAATCTGGCTCTGAATTAAATACGTGACATTCTTTACTTGAATTGTTTAAGAAGCAAAAGACAAACGGTAACCATTGCGGAAACTGTGGTCTTTTTCCTCTTATTGTTTTCAATGGTCCTCAAAATTTGATCTTTTTTCTAATTTGCACTTGTCGAAAATAAGCTTGGAGTAAGATCAAAATGTCGGTATTTTTATGATACCATAATCTGCAGCAGAAATAATTATTATTGTGCTGGCTTAACTTGGAAGACAACAACTCAGGATATGTAGCAACTTCATGACAATAACACAAAAATTTAACGATGAAACGTAATATGTATGAACATAGGGACTTTATTGGCACATTCTAAATTAGACATGAACAAAAACATTAAATGAAAACGATAAACAAATTAACATGAAAACAGGTGGTTTCAAGTACCTGACTTGACTACTATAAATTCATGAAGTTTTTCCCCTAATTTCGTTGGTACTGTTCATTCACGAATTTCTAAATGAATGTAAATACTGCTAAAATAAAATACAGAATTAAGACCTTACAGTAGTTTGTGTATATATTATATGATGATTAACACATCTTATTCGTGGTTTCATGAAGCTCCAATATAACGTACTTCAATCGGATGCGTAACAAAACAGATATCTCGAGAAATCTAATTAGAGTATTTTCAATGAATATTTAACTTCATCATCAAACAATATTTTTCGTAAAACTTCCAAGATTGAAATGATGGACCTGATGAAACATGTTAGCTACTAATTGTTGTAAATAAATAAATAAATTTTCCATGATGTTATCATTACGAAATTGTTCAGCAATTCAGTTAACACAATTTTATAAAAATCATACTGTGTAGTTCAAAAATCGTGATATCGTTGTTATCACCAAAATGAATGTAAAATATTAATCATGATACATAACGAAATCATCCATCGGTATAAGTAATTATATACCATTCTTGCTGTCCACATACATGCTGCATACCCATGGGGCGATGTTAGCCTGCAACGAGAAAAGTATAATTAAAATGTAATTAAAATGTAACAATGAGATTAAAATTTGATAAGATTTAATTAAAAAATAAACTAATAAAAGCAACGTAAATGTATTCCAGATTGCACAATATAATCGATAGAAAATAGAACCATTAAGTTCCATTGAGGAAAAATTTTATACTACAATAATGACTGATGAAAGGGTGGGAGGGGGATGGGGGATGGGTGGGGGGATATAAGTAATTACTCATCAAAGACCCATTTTCTTAAAGAATAACATGTGTATATTTGTATGGAAATTTACATCAAATTTTTTTACCAACATAGACAGCTTCCCACCAAGCTGTTTGATAACCATGATGATTTTAATTTACATATTGTGAAAATTCCATTTCTGGATAGCAACATTTATGCATGCCTAACACATTATGTCAGAGATGTTCGACATTCAAGGGCATATTCCCAATATCACTCGTAACACAGGGTTTCGAAGTTTTACTATCGTCATGGTAACTCATAGTCTTATTATCTTTTAACTTTTTTGTCTGTTTGTAAATCTTTCTTATTTTCATATAATTGAATTTGAGTTTAGATAATGAAGTTTAGATAATGAATAAATTGGTATTATCTTCTTGTTTTGTATTTATTATCTGATGACAGGTAAGAACTTACCATGTATATAAGACCATCAAATCCCTGATTATTGCAGTATCCAAATGTTAACGGATTTTGGCTGGATAGTAATTCAACTGGATCCTGAAGCTCATCTATAATAAAACAATGTTTTTTTTCATAATCGCATTTTCACTTTTTATTGAGAACGTTGCTATGCAACTGATATGTTTACGGGGAAATGAATTGAAAAGTTGAAGTGATAGATAACTGAAACATGTATATGGAACTATTTCAGAAAATAGACTTATTTTCACAATAAGTGATGTGATCCATTTGACTTTCACACGAGAAAGAATTTTGTCCTTTTGTCAATAAAAAGTCGTTTACGTTAATTTTTCACGTTTTGTCAGTTCTGTTGGGAACATGGAAATGTAAACGTAAATGACATTCTAAGATGTATTTGTACAACCTATACACGTGAATATATCAAACAAAATGATGACGTGTTGTGATAAATTATGACGTCATGTGAAGTATTGTGACGTACTTGCTAATGTGACGTTTTTTGTGAACACTTCTGTAATAGTGGACGGGTCAGCCATCCGATCAGGCAATGGAACGACTGTAGCTTCTAATGTGCGGCCGTTAAAAATGTAACGCACCCAGTTCCAGGAACCTTGCTGATAAAATACGAACAAATCACAATTAAATATTATTAAATATGCAGTCGATAAGTAAGTATTCATTCATTCGTTTTGTGTCGTTTAGTGATCATGGTCTTCCTCTGCTTAAAGACATCCCTTGTTTACTCATGCGTGAAAGATATGTTTGAAATGAATCCGATAATAAACATACTTGCTGTTTATAATAATAATGATATAATTAAATCAGTCTTACATTAATTCATTTTACTGATAAAAAGAAACATCACGATTAAAGCACAAAAAGATAAGAAAAAAGAAAGAAGATTGATGATGTTTGATTTATGACTGGTGTGTTAAGGTGTTTAAGGTATCAATGAAATTTAGGTTTCATTGAATACGAAATTATGAAACAAATCTTTTCATGGAAAACAATTGTGTTTCATCTATATTTTTCATGGAGATCAAAATTAATTCCAACCTTGAATTTTACAGTCATTTTGATAATGGAGTCGTATGGTGCTGTGGCGTTGTCGTCGGCTACGAAGAGTAGATTTTCGTCTATGTTGCTGACCATTATTCCTAGACTAGGCCTGTCCACTTGTGTAGATCGGCAGTTTGTTACCAGGAACTGGGTTTTATCTCCTGTACTCTCAGACTTAAATATCACTGTCATGTTGAAATGCTTCAAGAGATTACTGTTACCGTTGTAGTGATTAACTTTGTTGCTAGATTTGTCTTTGGAGGAGAATATCCCGACCCCGTTGACATTTCGAACTTCATAATCTTTCCAGACGTCATTTCTGGCTACACTTTTCGTGGCATAGTTGATCACTTTTTCTGGAAAGCATTCTGTTAGGGAAAGATAAAATAACTTAATAATAGATGGAACAAATTGACTGAAAATGTTTTGTCAAACTCTCCGATCAATAACGCCAAGAAATGACAGGCTGATTGTCATTCATTTGACAATTTATACACATTTATAAAAAACGTTTTTGTCTACATTTGAGTACGCTTTATCCATATTATGAAATTCACAAATATAATTTATGTGTAAAGTGTGCAAAATTTCAAAATAGATTCGAACCTCGTTATCTCGAAATCTCGAACCATGGGAAGATATCCGATTTATATGTTCAAATGTTTTGTGCAAAGTTAGACTTCGAATTAAACGGGGTCTTCGCGTTATACGATTCCGACATAACGAGGTTCGACTTCACTTATGACTGAAAAATACTTTTATTGAAAAAATATTTGTATATATCTTATTGCAAATTCAATTCTTATTTCATAAAAGGGTTTAACTCGTTAAATGAGTACGAACAATAGAAGTTAATTTACAAAGCTTACCTGTTGATGGCACGTAGTTAGGATCAGTAATACAGTTACATTGTGCCTGATCATAAATTGTTCCACGTGCACAGTCAGCCTCTATATCAGAATTTGCGTCGTGTACTATGTATTTCTGGTTGTTATTAGTCACAGCGCTTTTTGTGCACACTTCTACAAATATCAAAAAGAAATCAAGAAACTTTCTTTAGAAAGATGTTTGTTATTTGAATTCGATTGCCTTACGATGGCTTATGTTGTTTATAGGCAAGATTACGCTTACTTTTCTAGAACATGTCGTTTTATATGTTTGAAAACAAATCAAAACTTCATACAAATACTCCGTTGATCTAGTTTCCAAAAGGTCGGTTATTTCATGTTCAGAGTTTACGTAATATTGGTATATGAGTTTAAATCTATTCTATGACAAATGTAATATAGTTTACCTGTTGTAGTTTCTGGAGGTAGAGAAGTGGTAATGTTTTCGCCAGAATCAGTAGTTGTTTCGACAGGTGCATATTGGTCTGGACAACTCCACTTACAGTCTTTATTAGGCACACATTTTTCGTTAATGAAAGCTTCTCCGCGTCTACAGCAACTCGGTATAGACTTTCCATCGACACATTCATAATATTGCGAACAATATGATCCATGTCTGTATGACTTCAGTGTACTATCTATTGAACATGTATCTGAAATAAGATAATAATATATATTCATTCAGGTCAGACGTGTTTCCTGGTTCTGGTTTATGATAATTATCAAAACCAATCATGATTTGTCTTCTAATTCCCAACGATTTAGGCCATTGACATTGCTGAAGGACAAAACAGTATGCAGCTAAATCGTACCTCTGCGAATGAACATTATTCACTCTACTATTTCTAATTATCAATTGTTATAAAAGACGGAGTTGTGAATCAACTTTGATGCAAAAACACAGAACAGGTGTTATTCAGTGTGAGTTGTTTTTAAATATCATCAAGACAATTTACCACTTAAGCATATTTCTAAATTGTTTAGAATTAACAGATCTAAAATGGACATTGAAACAATTGTTTAGAGAAAAATTATGGCACTCAAAATGTAAAAACACGAAGTGGTCATCTCTTAATTGAAAAATCAATTGTCCAACGGAAACGTTCATCTGTTGGTAAAAATCCCATAAGAAAGCATAATAAAACAACATCAAAGATGACTGTCTGGAGTTTTATGTCTCCTTCAATCAAGAAATACCAACGTGTTCGTAATGTCGATTCCAAGACTGTCATCAGTCAGTATTCTTGGCTTCTTAATCAATCTTAAAAGTTACAACATATGTATATTGTCTAGTCAAAGAAGGCCTTCAGTCAGCCATTACATTTTTTCTGTGTACGCTTTGATTGAAACATGGTCGAAGATGTATGAGAGGCCCCTTCCCCTCATGTTGATGTTGATTTTAAACTGGCCCAGTTTTTTATGTATTCAAAAGGCTTCACCACTTTCAGTTTTATAACCATATATATATATATATATATATATATATATATATATATATATATATAACAATTCTAGTTTTTGGCATGTTCTGTAATTGCCGATTTCATTATCTAATAATACATACCTGTGCAGCTATGGCCATAACTATCCATGTCTTCTCTTCTAAGACAAGTTAGCATAGTTGGATGCCATATTTGGCCGAGAGGACAAGTATATAAATGCGTTAGCGAGTATGTTTCATGATTGGCATATTTATAGCAAAATATGTAGTGATGACAGGCGTCAGGTGAAGGAGTATAACAGGTATCCGAGGTACAATTTGCATTGCAAATAGCTCCTGAAAAAAAATATTAAAAAGTTAATTCATTCAATATTAAATTCCTCATGTAGTTGTCAAGCATGTGAGACGGATTCAGAGCTTGGAAGACGGAAACTATCCCACGTGAATAATTCGCAGAAATTTGTCAACAATACTTCGGTTTTTAAGACATCAAAGCATAGGTACAGATAATGGAATATATAAATACATATCTGTCTATTAAAAGTCCTATAGGCAATATCGTTTTTTAGATCTGAGTGCATACTGCATATCAGCATTTAAAAAATAACATTTATATCTTCACTTACATAGACAGCATAAAGGATTGATGTAAGATATGTACTTACTGAGATCTATTTCCAAGTCTTTCCTGTTTTCTGAAACAAAATATATTTAGCTGATTAATATGGGTATAGAGATTTGATACAAAATTATCATTATCCTAATTCAATAGTTTACAGATATAAAATGATGTAAAACTAGTATTCATAGACATTTCTTATCCGTTTGAATTCAGAAAAATATTTAAAGATAATTTCAGAAGTAAATAGAAAACTAACACATTTTACGTAAGACACGATTTGCAGACTTCTGAAAAAATGGGATTCCATGAAGCGAAATATCGTTTTGCTGTCATTGTTTACCATGCGAGATACTTTCTTTAAAAACAGTCATAACAAAAACGAGGGGAAACATCGAAATCCAAAGGTGGAAAGAGGTAGCAAACACAAAATTGTAACTTAAATGTACGGAAAAGAGTAGCATTCAGTATCTTATATAGGATTATTTTGATATCCACTTGTCAACGCTTTAAAAGTAGAGATAGCTCTAGTATCTATTTTACTTCTATATCAAGGAGACACATGACCAGGTTTTATGTATGTAGAAGAGGCATGTTAAAATATTGATTTATTTGGTATTATTGAATATTACAATATATATATATCAGACGATATCATATAAGATTTCGCTGCACACCAAGGAGGGTGATTATGTCGTAATGTACCAAATACGACATTACAGAAAATAATGATAGTACTGTTAATAGCATCAAAGGGCCAATTTTAGTTACGAAATAATTCCGAATTACAAATACTTACGACAGCGCTTTTTGAACGATATTTTTCATACTTACTTGTTGGAAGAGAATTAGTGTACTGTGTTAAGTGAACCGTGACAACAACTAATAATGTCAATGCCATCTGCATCTTCACCTTGATAGTCGATACAAGCATTTTGAGGCAGTCTGAAACCAAACATGTGATATGTTAAATCACAGTCGAACTAATACATCAACCGCTGGCAGAAATCAAGTTATGAAATTATGTTGTTACAATTTCAAACAAACCTGCTAGATATAGCACTTACAAATACTTTTCTATAAAGGCCACCAACTGTATGTGAAAAAACACCTATTAATGATACTTACCTGTATATAATATTTTCAGTTCCCAATGCAATTCAAATGATAGTCATTTAGCCTCTGTATAAAGGTCATCTTACGTATTGAGGTAATTTTTCTCTTGTTCATTGAGTGACATTTATAGACAGGTTTGACGGTATTCAAAAGGAAACAAAACATCTTTCAAAGCGCAATATATTATCACGTTCTCGATTTGAATAACACGCTGCATAAAAAGATTGTTGGAAACCTTTGATAAAAACAAGTCTAGGTTCAATACAAGACATTTGTGTCATTAAATCATATGAGATTTCTTTGTTTTATAACATTCTTGTTTTGATGAGCATTCTTACTTGTTTATATTTATGGTTAGGATCACAACGATCACAAAGAATTAATCATTGAAACGTTTTGCTGGAAGTATTAATATTCTCTAAGGCTCGTATAACGCATAATGGATTAAGTAACCAAATTTCGATTAACAGCAATAACCGAATGTGTTATACGTTTCTTAGTGGAAATTTACTCGGGGTAAAATAGTAAGCCTAAATAATTACACGATGAAAAATTATTGCCGGGCTAAATGATTAAATCAGGAAAGCGGAACTTCTACAGAATATATTTCTATCATATTAAAATTAATCATCAGCACTGTATTGTGTCTGGAAGAAACATAGAAACATGCGGAATTGATGTACTGTATTCATGATGGTAATAACATGTAAATATCAGCATATATCAAAATACAGAAAGACACTCAGCCAGCATTAACTTAATGACCTTGGCAGTAGACATGAATGCCAATAAGCGAATGCTCACCTCCATTGTATTTAAAGACAATTCGACAGGCTACAGGAACCGAACGAACCTGTCATGTACATGTTTCCCAGCAGTATATGTTTGCATCTTATTTCCATTTCAAACGTCAATATAACTTATAGACTCTCATATTTATGATAATCAGGAACATAATTCTGGTTGTATAACATTAACCAAAGGTTAGGAGATACCGAACTTAGCATAGGATTATAGTTATAGTTCGCCTATTAATGACAAATTTCCATCATACAGAAACTCATAGATATTTAAAGATAGTGATTTAAATTTCCTTTGAAATTATTTATTTATTAAGGTAAAAGGTAAAGAGGAAAGAGAAAGAAAGGAAACGAAAGATAAATAAAATAAAAGAGAAGAAAGGGAAACCTGTATATGTCCTCATGATATTTCCCAACACTTGCAGTAGGTGTATCACAAAACAAAACCATTACCATACGATAAATTATCATAATGTCGTTATCTTAAAACAAATTATATACCCGAATATTTGAACACACGACTTTTGAAATCGTAAGCAAATGAAACTTTTAGATGAAAGAAAATCCACTATTTCACTTTAAATAGTGCATTTCTCAACATACCTCCTACCAAATATCAGCATTCTAGGCCGCATATTTGATTTGATCGTATACTGGAAAATTTCAATATTTGTAGAATGTGATTTTGCTTACATGGATTAACTAAGAGTTACATTGTTCCCCCCTTCCGACATAAAATGAAATAGTTTAAAGTTAGGTCACAGTTTAGTCTTATAAGTGAATATGGAAGCATCTAATGATAAATCACTTTATAAATTAATTAGATGTATAACTCCCATGCGATCTACATAGTTTTAAAAGAGGACCTTATTTGAACGTAATAATAAATCATTACACTTTTAATATCATTCTGATGTAAACAACCGGTAGACTGATAAATCTGTCAATTCCTGTCGTCAAATTGTCTGGTGAAATAGTAACAGGTAAAATGTTCAATCAAGTCTAACGACCTTTGACAAGGGTGTTTAAATTTTGATCATAAAGATTATGTTAATTTACATCATATACAATAACACACCCTCGGCTTTTAGACAATTTATACAAGTATTTCTTTTTTGAAATGTCTTGTCCTACACGTGACTACTCTCACCGATATATTGTGATGTTGGCTCGAATAAGACTTGCAAATTCAGCTACTTTGTATTTCTGACTTTTATGCTGCTTGACAGTGTTCGACTTAGAGTTCATAGTCTATCCAATTTTTTCCCTGGCAGATCAGCTGATTTTTATTTAACAATCACTTTAAATAATTGTTTTCATTCAGTCACTAATTTGTTTATTTTTTACCATGAATAAATGTTTACCGCAAGTTCTTTTTCTTCTTTACTTACAATACTAAAAGTGAACAAATTCAAGTATTGACCTATTACCTACATTCAAAACCTATTACTGATATCCCTGCATACGATATAGGATATGATTCATAAGTCATGAACCCAGAACGAATGATTTCATGCCATCAATGAATCAGTACAAATGTATATACTATGGTTACATATTTTTGGTGATAGCACATCCCCGAGAAATGTAGTATGAACTTTTATCTTTTACAAGGCAGAATAATAACTTCATGTTCATACACCATATATAAAAAAAACCAATTAATTATTATATTCAATGTCTGTATATCAGACTGCAGGAAAAACAAAATACAATTGCTGTCCCTGTAAACACCTTTAGGAAGATTTTAGTAATGAAGACCTCCTCCATGCTTAGACATCAAATCGTAAACACGTAATGAGCGGTCATTTACAACCGAAACATTGAATACAGTTTATGCCATTGTATATATGGAACAGTTTTCATCGCCTTTTTCAAACAGCAAAAATAAAGGTGGAACGAAATTTGATATCAATAATGAAAAATACATATATGTATGTATACGTATATGAACTACAATAAATTTTGTGTTAATTTACAACTGGGCGAAGGAGAAGTTTTTATTTTCGATAGCGAAAAATAGCCCTAGGAGAAGGATTCCTTGAATATGATACAGACAATTAATAAAGGTTTTTTGCTTATCATAAAGGTTTCCTGCTTATCATATATGTTTTGAACTGAAATTAAGGTAAATATTACTATAATACAGGAACACTATAACATTAAAGGAAGCTACAGCCAAAAAGAGAAAATGACAATAACCGAAAACATGAGACAGAAATAAAAAACATTAATGAGACAGAAGGAAGTAAAATGCAGCATAAATAGACAAAAATAATCATCTTTCGCTCATAAGCATATTTTGTTCTTCAAAACGAGATTTGTGGTGCACAAAACGAAAATGCCACCGATAGCCAGAACGCTACCAAATAGAGTGACAGTGACTGTTGCTCATAAATTATCATGTCGACAAAAAAGATAAAATGGTCTTAATTGCTCAAATATTTACTCTTAAATCACAAATAGCAGATATCATGTAATGATGTTTAAGTGAATTATAGCGATATATCTATGAATAAACAACAGTGTGTGTCAGAAAAAGGATTTCATTCTATCGTTAAGAGCTAAGGATCCTTGCCAAGTCTTCAGTAATGCACGTCTACCGCCCACACCAAACACATCTGTTAAGTACAAGCATTTCCTTGTTGTGTACACGATGATAACTACAGTGGATCTTTCTGGTAACTCTTTTGTTATGGATCATGTTGTAACCACTTAAAACCTTAAGTTAGACAACAGCAATGATCGTCTGATGTATGGTCAATTAGGCGAAATGTCATTGGCCGTAAGGTCAATATGCATCAGTGTCGACACTCTAACAAAATGGCTATTGTTTTCACATGTATATACAAAACAGTCGAATATAAATCATCTCAATGTTAGCATGTCGGTTGACAGAGATATCTTCTGGAATTAACCATGGGGAGAGTCATATTTGTTTTAAACAAGATTAATTGTTTTGTTACGAGTTACTTATGCGACAGATATAATCATTTGAACATTTCTTTTAAATAAATAAATGGATGAATTAATTAATTAATTTCCGAATGGCCAAAAACCAATGTTTTATTAAAATCTCATTATCATTCAGTGACGACATCATTCTAAGGTGAAATGTTCTTGAAAAAGGTTTATTTTTGCTTATGCTTAGCTCAGTATAGACAATGGTCCTTCCAATTCAACAAATTAAATCTTAAGAATTTCTATATCCAAACGACTTCATAGTACAAATATGCTGGTAAAGTCCTGTCATTGTAGAAAGATACCAACATAAATGATGCTACCAATAAACACGTGTAAACGTATATTGTGGATATTAGGAATGACTAAAAGAAACGCAAAAATGAAATATTTGGCATGTTTTAGCTACCGTGTATCACGACCAAAGTTAACACGTACGTGCCACTGTTGGACATACGACTAGCAAACAACATTCGTGATCTTACGCAGACATTTCGTTAGGATTGTTGAGCTTTGTAATGAATTATATACTTTGTGAATGTATTAGTAGAACAAAATCGAATTCATAGACAGAGTTTGGTAATGCATAATCAATTGGATCAAATCCTCAGTATCTGGATTATATTCTATTACGTAAGAGAAACAGATAAACTTATAAAAGAAATTGACGATTCTGAAAACTAAATTGATGGACAAAACTATTAACGTAGAGTCACGCGAAAATATTTTAAATAATCGGATATATTCTTGAATTTGTTTTTCATTTGAAAATGTACCTGTCAAATGTGCAAAAAGTTGTAAATAGTACAAGAAAAAATTAAAAAGTAAATAAACCCATTAACAGATAAGTTTGTGGGTTTTTTTCGTGTTACTGTGAAAGTGACGCAAGCATCAGTTTACATAAACATGACTATTCCCTTACTCAATTGTTTATCAATCAAAACATCTAAATCACTTATGTTCAATATCAGATGATTAAAGTCAATAACCGATGTGAAAATGTGGCGAATTTAGTTATTCAAATGATACAGTATTAATTATCTTACATAAGAATAGG